TCTCAGGCATGCACCGATCATTTCATTCATAGTTGGTTACAAAGATAAGACAGAATGTTATACAAAAACACATAAAATTGCTTTTTGTTTGACCAACTGCCAACCTATCCATAAAACAGTTGCATCATAATTTTTTTTATAAAGCTACATTTAGAGCAAAAATCTTGGAAATATTGTCAACAAAATGACTAGAGCAAACAACAACAATACACATCTCCATATACTTGACCAGAGATTGTTTTCCGGTCTAAGATTGAGTCAGTACATATATTTTTTTTAATTGTTTTGACAGCTATTCAACGCGTATCTCAGTATTCCTTGGAAGTCTCACATTACCGGTAATGTTCGCTTGAACAGACATAGCCTAATCATGTAATGATTGAACTTCAATTACACATAGTAAATCAATCATTAATTTAGTTTGCAATGTTGATTTTATGGTGTCTGAAACAACATGGCAAATGATAGTACCCAAATGATTGTCATTTTTCAAAAAATAATCAAATTTCAACATGGTATGAAACCATTTCTCAGGCATTATTCAAACTTTGTATGAAAAATAATGCATGATGTGTGATAGGTTGAACTCACTTTTTTAGTTTCATCCACTAAACATAGTGAAACAATAAATAGCTTGCCTAGATAATACTGTTGTGAAAGCATGTGTGTCCACATTAAATTATGAATTCAAGCCATATGTGAATATATATCACAACAAAAGAGAAAACAGAATCCCTACACTGCCCTCATAGTTAACAATTTATAAATAGGATTACTTTACCTCTGCTAGAACGGTTGCCCTTTCAGCTTGCAGTTTAACCTTGACAACTTCAAATGGGTTGGTAACAAATGCTTCTGTTAGACCTGCACCAAGTCCTGCTAAAGTAAACGTCTACAAAAAAAAAAATTGTGGCAACTTTTGTATGCTAAAAGAAATGTATGCATCATGGTTATACTTTTCCCCATACAAAGCCAAGGAACGATGGTAAATGAACGCAATCATGACCAATAAGTCATCATGAATTTGATTGGTTCGATAACAAATGCAGTCGTTCAGCTGAACAGGATGGGGGGGGGGGGCTTCGTACTTGTTTTGTATTTTTTTTGCTTTTTTTCAGCTGCGATCAATGAAGCCATCCCATAGAACATGACATTTTAAGACTTTGTATGGCTGATAAAAAACGACTATCATTTCTAGGTGTTATAGGAAAGGTCTTGAGATTCCTTCCAGAAGTTCATGAATCTTAGACTGAAAATTAAAAATTCTCTCGACACCACGTACCAGGGCGTTCGGCTCCACTGCTCCAAAAAGGAATATTTTCTTGTATTGTTCAAAGGTGAAAAACTTGACAGCTCTCTTGGGTGCTTCGGCCATAATTGGCGGCAAGATACCCTTGTAGAAAGAGGCGATCCTGAAAAGAATGAAGTTGCATGAATATAATCAAAAGTAAATTATAGGAAATAGAATCACAGTACGTTTATCATTAATCAGTAGTTACTGTAGGATCTCTATCTGGGTCACCTGAAACTTGCATATATTATGATCCACCTGCATTATAATAACAAGCATCATATAATATTTTTTCTTTATAAGTTCTTTGTCAGTCTTTGTCTGTTAAAGCGGGAGGGTCGTCACCTGAGCACGCGTGGGAATTGAGTCCCAATCGATGATAACAACACACGCTAAAAACGCTAAGGCTCATGGGTAGACGCTTGTTTGTAAACATTGACACACTATGGTCATCTGATGCATGCGCAGGTGACGACTCCCCCCGCTTTAAATTTGTTTTTTCTTCAATATATGGGATAGAGTATTTGAATATTACAGAGATTTTGTGCCACAATATTTGAATACGACAAAATGAAAACGTACATGACGCTAGGCATGAATAATTAACCACTGTCACTCATTTGTCATGTGACATGAACATATACATACACACATCATATACACCTGTCCATACCTCTAATAAACAGCGAATAGATTAGATTGTGGCTAGCCTCAATATATAAAACAACATTAAACAGCGCCCTCATAGGCAACTTTGCACTTACCCCTCCGACCGGTAAATAGTTCGGAAGCAGTCCGCCAGTGATTTGTACGCTGTTGGGTCATTTGCAGCACCTTGGATTTGAAATCTGTGTGGCATCAGGAAAATGGGAAACAAATGTTAAGCTAAGCTATTTTATTTTGATAGAGACATGATAATTATGAACAATCATTGTTGTATGAATACTACTGAAATGAGTAAACAAGATGCAAGAAAATCAAACACGCTTCTGCATTGCAAAAATTGAGCAATCACACTCAAGACGTCATTTGTGTATCAAATTGCATGAGCTAAAGTAAATGCCAAATGATAAAAATGACATGTATATAACGATACCATGATTTTAATGCGATATTTTTCACATCACACATATTTTAAATGTATTGAAGCAAAGGTGTGACAAAAACTGCATGTTTGCTGATGGAACTAATATCAAACAAAGCAATTGGTTCGGCATAATTCTGGCATATTTACATGTGTGCATTTTATATTTCTCGATGTCCTTACCTGGTTTTAATCAAATCCAACGGATGCATCAGACTAACTTCAACAACGCCTATCAAATAGAATGTAATAAAGTTGTATATCTGCTAAAATGCTTGATTCAAATCAGTTGTTACGGCATTCATGAGTTATAAGTATCGGCACTGATTTATTCTTCATCTTAAGAACCTAAATTTATGTGATGCAATGAGATTTAGAAACACGCTCATTAAAACTCAATTATTAAGAAGTACAAAATGCTTCAAGGTCAATTTACTTAAAAGCAAATTCCAAATCAAAGAAAACTTAGAAAGAACTCCCGTGTGTTGAGAGTAATGGAGACAAATTAAAAACTAAATCAAAATTACTTGTACTTGAGATATTGATGGAAAAACTGAAAACTAATAATGCAAATCAGGTAATTAATATGAACAGATTTGAGTGTAAAACTAATATGGTCTGTGCAATGTAACAGACCATCTATGTACTAAGTTTCAATGCAATATGTTTGAAACCAAAAAATTATGAATTAATATGAACTGATTTTAACCCAAAATAAATCAGTTATGTCTATTGCCCTAGAGCATTTATGTACCAAGGTTTATTGGAATGTGATGATCAGTAATTTGAGATATCAGTGTGAAAGTTGAAAATTAATTAATTATGTTAATTAAATGATTAATATGCATAAATATTTACCAAAAACTAATTGGGTCTCTGCATAGTCTTAGTTTCACTGAAATGTGATGATTACCTGTACTACTTGAAATACACTGAAAATTAATTAATTATGCAAATTAGGTAATTAATATGTACTGATATTACCCTAAAAACTATCAGGTTTGTGCAGTGTCCTGTGACATCTATGTAGCAAGTTTCATTGAAATGTGATGATTAGTACTTGAGATATCAGTGAAAAAGCCGAAAATTGACTAATCATTATGTAAACTAGGTAATTAAAATGCACAGATTTTTACTGAAAACTATCAAATCTGCACATTAGTTGAGAGCATCTATGTACCAAGTTTCTCAAAAATCCAATGCATGGTTATTTATGTATCAGTGGAACAGGCATGGAACAGCAAAAATATTACTAATTATGCAAATTAGGTGATTAATATACACAAATATTTGCCCAAAAACTAATCAGGTCTCTGCATATCCTAGAGGATCTGTGTATCAAGTTTCATTAAAATGTGATGATTAGCAGTTGAGATACTAATTATGCAAATTATGTGATTAATATGCACACATATTTACCCCAAAACAATCGATCCCGGGCAATCGATCCCTTCGCACACGGGAGTAAAAAATGTACCGTATCACAAATTTACTAGGAAGGTGCCTAAAATGCCCAGATACTGGAGAAACGCGAGTTTATCACAAACTAACTTATGTGAAATGAATTACTGTAAAATACTTTATTTTAGCTGGAATTAAGGTAGAAGTCTACTCATGATTTTTGAGAAAGTTGGTCATAAATCACATGACAATGTCCATTGGTTTATTATGTAAAATCATGGAGCTATTGTCCCATGACACTATAAAATAGCATTCTTTTGTATGTTACAGTGACGTATTTTGAGAAACTTTTTTATTTTTCAAAAATAGCTATTTTTAGAACAATTCCATAGAGCACAATGTTAAACAAGTATTGCATTTTTCGACACTTTTTAAAACCCAGATTTTTGAAAAAATTCAGGAAAACAAAAAGTACCCCATCAGTAACAATATATTATTTTTTCAGCCTATGTCACCAGCCTACAATTTGAGATATGGCATAATATCTCTGCCATAGGAACCTATGGTAAAAGCACTATAATACTGCCAAAATGGCCGCTATTCACTAAAATACAACCATGATTTTCTCGAAAATTAACCTGGTGACCCCAAACTTTTTTTAAGTTAATATTCTTATATTGCCCAGAAGTACATTTTATTAAAAAATGAATAAATTCTGGGTGTTTGAAATTATGAGTAGGCTTCTACCTTAATAATTTATTTTCACTGATTTTTGTCAAGTTGAATGTAAAATATAGG